AGGCTTAGGCTACCAACAACAGTGGACGCCTTTCAAACTAGAGCAATGGCATTTCTTAAGATCGTTGGGAAATATGCTGTGTATTTTTAAGTAATAAGGAAAATATGTAGATGAGGAGGAAATAAAGAAGGGAAGGATGGATGAATAGAGGAATGAAAGGCGAAAAAGAAGAAAGCATTCCTCGTTCTGGCCATTCAAACTGGCTCCGTGGACAGTAGTTTATCAATCTGGATTGTTGAATTTTTAGACCTTATCCATCGTCTGATGTTATACAGCCAACAATAGACCAAAATCTAACAATCTAAATTGTATTACACCATCGTCAGAATAGTTCAGAATAGAGTAGTTTATCAGTTCATCATTACATTACCAGATTTCTTTCCGAACGTGTGTCTCTGACAAAGCTGAGAACAGAAGGATTTGTTTCAGAATTGCAATACAAATTCGTAACAGGTGGATACAACCGGCCAGCGTATTTTTCTGAGAAGGACCGAGGCGGTAATTCTCATTAAGAGATGATTAACAGAAGTCTCGAGGCGTGGCGAAGTCTTCGTAGCGTGTAAGTTGGTGCGGACAGTACAGTAGGCGGGGCTTGAATCTTAACTCCGCCCACCTGTCCTCCAGGCTTACCCATCACATGGTCAAATAACAGCAGCGAAGGAAACAAAGTTTCAGATTTCCGCTAGCCAAGCTCCTCTTCACGTTCCTGTCACTCAGAAAATATTTACGCATTGTCTAAGAAGAATCATTTTTCAGGAGATTTTCGTAACACAGGTTCGGAAGTGAGAAGACCCCTCAGTTTTCTTGAGACGGTAATTTTTTGTCATCCGCAGATTAAAGTTCGTAAGAAATTGTACAACTGTTACACTGGGATGGCGCATTCAGTACGACTCAGGATATGAATATATGCAAGCGGTATTATTTTTTGTTATATGTATTGTGTGTAGGTCGAGGCCTTGTAATGGGCCGATTCCATCCAAAGAGTTCTAGAAAAGGATTGTTTCAGAAGAAAATTCTGAATACGAGCTGGTTAGACGACCTTTTAAATTATGATATGAGTGTCACCTCTAATGGCTTGATGTTCATAGCAAGTCCAATAAAAGTCTGTTAGGTGGTTCAAAAGTGGCACAGCCTATAGAACTCAACCTAGACCATTGTTATATTGTCCCATTGTTGCGAAAACCACGACAAACAGATTTACAGAAACGGACTGGCTTAAGGCGTTCTTTGCCCACGCTAGAGCATGAAGAGTACTCAACAAAAAGCAAGACAACGATTGTGACACCAATTAGGTAGCTACTACCCCGATCAAGACTCGAGCCGGATGCCTCCCGTGAAGGCTTCAGATGTACCAGATTATGCCTATCAGTTTACATCAGCATGCTGTCCGAAAGGAAACACGCTTGTAATGAACGAGTAAACTCTTTTTGTCATGTTGGGATGCAAACACTATAGGCTGAAACTATGTCTTTTATGGTAAGATGTATAGCAGCCTTTTATCATCTCTAGGTGTAGGGTCTGCATGCTTCTGACAGGCGCTCATTGGACCTTGAGAATGTCAACTCCTGAGTCCGAGTAGCAAGTGATTGGGGTCCAGGGACATCACCAATAAAGGCGACTTTAAATCTGTACTTGCTCGTAAAATAAGCTTTATTGAATTGGGAGTTCAGAGGTGAAATATTAAAGAACGGATGTCTTGGTGTAATAGAGCGACCAAGGTGAACGATGGTACTACATCGACTCGCCTTTCGAGGTTGTACTGGGGAGTTTTTGCTTTCATGGCAGAAATATTACATGAAATTTGTTATGGGACTATTTAGTGAACTAACTTCATGGAAAAATGTCGTATTTCAGAACACTAGAGCCGAACCGCTGATTCCTATTCTCAGACGCACGAATCTCGTCCATACCGTCACATCTTTAAGATACCTTAAATCTGTCTTGACTCGTCTACACCTCTGTCTCACTAGTAATTTTTCTCGTACAGCTTTTCCGACAAAAATTTTGGAAGCAATTCTCAGCTCCAACCATTGCTACATTCATTACCAAATCATCTTTGGGATAGCTGCAGTGAAGTCTTCTCTAGCACTGAATCACAAAGTGCCAGTATTACGAGACCTAAGGCAGTCTCGTCGGGACTGATTCTAGCTGCCTGTGCCCTTTATGATGGAGACATACAGCCTCCTCAACTTTGTAGCTTCATTCACATTAATGTGAACGATCGATCGCGAATTTATTGAGTCACTCATTTTTATGTTACGGTTTCTGAAAAGTGTATAAATTTTATTTTTTCAAACTTAATAACACTATTAATAGCTCATATTGGGCTGTGTATGGTCGGTGATGACTAAGTAATTAGTTGAAAAGGATGTGGAAGGAACCAGTCGTGGACTTCTTTAGTGTAGCCTACTATCTGGGAACCGAATTTTGACCAGGGACCCCCCAGAGTGCTAACCATTCGATTTCGACGTTTTCTCTTGTGTAACTAGCAAGGACCCGTGATGTTGACTTTTTGGAATATACGTGCCGTTCTGTCTGCAGTTATTGGCAGGACTTGAACACGTAGAAACGACAGACCTTCAGAAGATAACACTGATGGAACGGGCGAAGTGACGGGAAGTTAATGCGGGAACTGGGAATTGAGGTTGAAGTGTGGGGGGTGCATGCGGCCTGATTGCTGGATGGGAGGGTTGGTTGGTTGGTTCTTGGTTGCAGTTCTTTGTCGCTTTTCCCTCAAAGTGCTCCTGAGGGATGCTGTATGTATGCAG